AACTAACGATATTGGTTGATGAATTCATTTCAAATATGGAAGGAAAACAAATCGACCTCAGAATTAAGCAAAACCATTTGTTAAGTAACCGAATTGTTATTATAGAACTAAAGCTATTTCGATTTATACATAACATATTCACTCAAGGTAATTCATGATAAATGATAAAATGTGAAGACCATAACACAACTAGTAGGTCTTCATTTCATTCTGTCAATATAGTATAACAAGGCAATGAATAAATAACTAACAGTTCATTGTTGATGAAAAATTCATTGTTAAGAAAAATAGTAAAAATCTAATAAATTGATCAGTCAAACACTTTGATGTACTGAATAAGAAATTTTTAACGCTGAGAATAACGTTGTTCATTGTAAAAAGAATAAACGATAATGTCTGTGATACATATACATAGATTACCAAGGCTAAATTTAAGGGTGTGAAAATAATAAGATAATTTTGAGTTGGTGCAGAAGATTTGTAGATCAGGTGGATGATTTTGTTGAAGTTTTTGTTCTCTAAGCTGAATGGTTTAGTCAGAGAACAAAACTCCACCAAAAAAAAAAAAAACAAACAAACAATTGAAATCATTATTTTCACCGTTAATGTTATCATTATTATAACCATCGTCATTTTATACTTATATTTTTGTTTTTTTTAAATAGCTTACATGTTTTTAGTTGAATTTACTCTTTCAACTTAATCCGGTTTCATTGGATTATTAAATATATAAATAAATTAGTGAATAAATATATCCAAATATTAATTCAAAACATCTAGTAACGTTGCTTTATGGAACAGACAAGTTTAATTAAGGCATCTGAATAGTATACTGCCTAGAATACAAATGTGTATTCAGTTATCCAGTTGTAATAACAATCTTCTCACTTGACTGATTTCTTCTTTTGTATCTTTTTGTGTAGTATAACAATTTGAAATTATCCAATATGGTTAAAGCTGTATATTATTGTATTTGTAAATTGATTTCTAGTAACCAGGATAACCGTTGCTACTTATGCTCAAAAAATTTCACCTGATAAGTATACAGACTAAAAAAGGATTGACTAATACACCAGCCAAAGCTTTTAAATTGTACTATAGCTGAAAAACAGTAGATAAGTTCTATACTTTCGAAGCACGAAGATTCCACCTTTCGTACACTATTTTAAGCATGTATGAATTAAGAGCCTTGTAAAATTAACAATTTAGCAACGGAATATGTGAGTGGAGTAAGATAATTAAAATGCTTTTGTTACACTAATTGAAAATAATAGAGGGGTTCAATGAAATGAAGTGATAGCAAAAACAATTATTAATAGAATCATAGGGATATGAGAAGTAATCAAAGAGAGGGGAATGTTTTCAAATACGAAATATAATAATAATAAAAGTTTAAAGCTATGGAAGCAGTAAGGATGAAATGAAACTTGAAGGGGTTAGAACGATACACGCAATTATTTTGATAATACACAAGATGGTGAATAAAAGGGTCTAAAATAACTAGCAAATAGTAAAATGGTAACTATACAACTGTGAAGTCAAAGTTAGTATCATTGTCTTGTGACTACTTAAGGATGTTTTTCATAGCAATAAATCTGAGAATTACAAAAAAATTGTGGTAAGTGGATTTTGCACAGAATGAAGACTTGAAGAGAGGGGGCGGATCGAGCGAAGTGAACGAAATATCTCAACATAAAATAAAATCGAAACTTGTTAGAGATTATTATCATTCTGAAAATGAGACTATAAACTCCTGAAGGTGACTGACAAAAGTAATGTTTTTATAACTCACCCTCTGACTTTCAGAGCTTTTATTGTTTATAAATGTATAAGCAATGTCAAGGATAATTAAAATGTATTTGGTCACACAGAGACTTTATTAGTTTTGGGACCATAAGGAATCAGTGAGCAATGGTCATCTGGTTGACCTTGTTCTTAGATACCTCAACAGTTAAAAAAAACCTATTCTTCATGAAAAAGAAACTTGAACCTTTAGATTATATCGTACAGTTATGGAATTAATGTGACTAGTGTTTTCTAAATTTTAGTCAAATAATAATGTTTTATTGCCAAATGTAATAAGTAGATATTACTCCATCTTGACATTATAAATATTATCTAAGCCACTATTATGCATGACCTCACCTATCATTCATTGACTAATGAACATCAGGTGGGTAAACTGTTCATGCGGTGTGTGCTCAACTAAGTGATAAATCTACACGTAGAATGTGAGTAGTGTGACCTTGATTTACTATAGTCAGTTTACTTGGATTAAAGAAATCACATGAAATGATAAGAAACCATTAAGAGGTTCCACTATACGCTCGATAATAAACGATATTAATATTTGAGACATCTGTACTGTATAGTTCTACAAAAAACTATCAATAGAATCAAAAAAGTAAATTTCTTTTCCTTTGGTTTTCCTCGTTAGGATGTTTCTAGGCTCTTTTGGCATTTATAATATTTAAAAATGTGTGTCTTTATTTCAAATAGATGGAAAAGAATAAGAAGCTATTAGTCAAAAGCTTAGGATGAACTTTGGTTGTAAAATGATCCAGGAGGTAATTGGGTGATAATGAAATGAAGGCCTGCATTCCAACTTGGGATCTTCAGAAAAACTTACTCTGATGTGATCATTCTGTAAAGCTGGAAATTGTTTTAAAATAATTCACTTTAAATCGTTCTCGCTTATAAAAAGCTGAGTATATTTTCGGGCTAATCAATAAACAAGTATAATTTGATTTATTGGTCGATTAGATATAACATAAAGGATGGTCAGTCGAGGTTTGAACAGCTCAGTGGCAAGTTAACTAATACCATCACCAAATGCCATGGGTTGAATCCTCATTTTTCAAGAGTGTAGATTAATACAAATCGTCATGAAATCTTAGTTCAGGGATTCTTGTTGTTTGCTTCCTAACATTCAATAGTTTTTATTTCTCTAGAATCAGTTTAGACAGTTGAGTAGTATCGTTCATACGATAAGTATGGTTTAAAATAGAATACGTGAACCTGTTCGCGGTTATTGAATTACGTCATTACATTTGACTACAGACAAATTTCATTTATGAAACTAAGTGGGACAAGCAACTCACTAGCTAGGATATCACTTCATTATAATATATAGACAGTTTCGGTTCACCCTTAATGATGATGGTCACGTACATGTATGTAAAACTTCATTGCGAATGTTCAAAATTAAAGTATATATATTCTCCACACAATTGAAAATAAGTGATAGAGGTGTGAATATGAAGATTGATTGATAGATACATTTGTAACACAATTCCGTAAAGATGATCACTGAAATTCGAGAACATCATCACTTTAAGCTTTAGTGAAACAGATGAACTATTCCCTTAGAAATATCAATGCTTCTTTGGTGAAACATTTATAAGTTTGTTTCATTGGATAAATCAGTACGATTCATTAAACGATTGGCCTTAGTTTTAATAACAATTTTTCAGTAGATGGTAGATGTAGGGATATTAGTAAGTTTTAAGGAGAAAAACACCATTATTTAGTGAATCCTAAACGATAGTTGGATAATTCTATGAAGATCTAAAATAATCGTAAGTTATTAGTTTGAAGAGTATGCAGAGCAAAATATTAAGTATTTACTTAATAGCTAGAAGTACTTACTGTGGAATTATAATACTGTAATATAAAACAATTATGTAGAGTCCTTAAAAGTAGATAATATAATTATTTGGAATGTATATATATTCGCGGCAGATCTGATGCAGATGTGAAGGCGCGGTTTGGAAAAGCAAGAGCAGCATATTTATAACTGAAGAACATCTGGAACTCAAAACAATTGTCAACCAACACCAAGGTCAGAATTTTCAATATAAATGTCAAGACAGTTCTACTATATGGGGCGGAAACCTAGAGAACTAAGAAAGCCATCATTCAGAAAATACATGTGCTTATTAATAGTTGTCTACGCAAAATACTTCGAATCCGTTGACCAGAAACTATCAGCAACAACCTATTGTGGGAGAAAACAAACCAGATTCCAGCACAGGAAGAAATCAGAAGGAAGCGCTGGAAGTGGATAGGACACACATTGATGAAAGCATTCAACTTCATCACAAGGTAAGCCCTAACATGGAATCCTCAAGACAGAAGGAGGAGAAGGAGATCAAAGAACACACTACGTCGAGAAATGGATACAGACATGAGAAAAATGAACAAGAATTGGATGGAGCTAGAAAAGAAGGCTCAGGACAGAGTGGGTTGGAGAATGCTGGTCGGCGGCCCATGCTCCATTAGGAGTAACAGGCGTAAGTAAGTATATATATTCTATTTCGGTTAGCTAGAATGCAGGTACTCAACACGTGAATAGTGCATTTTTGGTTTTAGTGAACTTTCCAAAATCTGGACAGCTAGACAATTCTTCATCATTACCAATTTAGTTACACTGAATGCTTCATAAGAAATTTATATACCTATTTCTGAAGTATTAAATACAATTTCATTTGAAGAATAGTTTCAACTTAGTTATTTCTAAAGCAAATAGCAAAGAAACGAGCACATTTTCTCTCCAAGTTAGGATCCATAAAATTCTTATTACTTGAATCAATATAGAGAAAAAAAGTAGAATTAACTTGTCTCCATGTCAACTAAAGAAATAACAAAATCAACTCGGAAACTGTTATACTAAAATATCAGTTCATAGAAAATAGATCCTTAGTTATCAAGATACGATAGTCAAGTTAAATTAATCTTATATAGTCTTTAAGGGATCGTTATCAGTTACTTAACGACTGAATTTCTCCACTTTGAATCACCAGGTCTTCATCTAAATTTGTCTCTGCCTATTACAATTTAACAAGTGAAGTAGAATTATTAGAACTTATAAATTTGAGTATATAAATGTCAGTGTGATTACTGAATTAAATAGAAATGTTATTTAAGTCACTTGAACAAAAATCCTGGTAACATTAAATTATCCTTAGATAAAAGCATTATATAGACATCTATGAACTTACCTGAAATAATAATTGTTCTAATGTTTTTGCTAAGTGTTGTACCATTTTAGTTCTTTGTTCATCATTAGCATGTACTGCTTGATTAGCACATAAGACTAAATGATGTACATCTGTTCCAACTCTGTTATAGCATATCATTTGCCAGATTAATCGAGGTAAATAGAATAAAATACACTGTAGGCCCAGAACAAATGGCACCCACTGATAATAAACTGCATAAAATCAAGTAGAGATTTAGGTAGTTTCGAAATAGAAAAAAACTTATTTGTTATGAAATTAAATAATGATCATTTTCATCTGTACAATCTAGTCGGTCCGATAGTTTTATGACCATATATTGATTTCGACAAGTTCTTGTTGATTAAGGTTAAAATTAAATAATTTGACAACTATAACAAGCTACCAGCATGAATCTCATTAATGAAACACTAATGAAATACTGACTTCAAAACAGCCTATCATTTCAACTTGACAGAAATTAATTGTTTATTATGTCATGAAAGCAAAATTAAACAGGCCAAACCATCTAACTAAAAATGTTTAACGACACAACTTTTCAAAGAGAACCAAACACTTCGTCGATTAGAAACACAGAGACATCTCAATAGTGCATAAAAGTAGTTGACTGTCAATTTATATATATATATATATATATATATATATATATATATATATATATATATATATATATATGAGATCATGAACCAATCACTGCTAAACTACCACCGGAAACCTGGAAGCGGTAAACGGCTGAATCTTTCTAGTATTGAACTCCTCGGTAGTGTGCATCAATGATCCTGCACATGGGACTCAAACCTAGGTGTAACATTGGTCGGTTCATAATCTCAATTAAAACTCGAAAGTCTCCACAACCCTATACTGATATATATGTTTAAAATCAGTTGGAAGATAGAGATAAAACCAATGAATTATTTAGATTTTTAATAGTAACATAAGCCTACCAGAACTGTATTTTATTAATGCTAGGTATATGATCATAGTGATTACTATGGTCGATTCGATGAAAATAATTTAAAGTTATTAACAAATTAAGAAAATAATAAGTCAGAAACAAAATAGCCTTGAACTCCATAACAATCCCTTAAGTAAACAAGAATCAGACACAAAACTATTTAAATACGAAAATCCTATTCTTGCTGATCAAACGTTAAATATTTGGAATTTTTCTATCATTTTTTGAAATGTAATATTCGAAGAGTGAAATATTTCAGGTAGTTTTATATTAAACTGCTTTTTTACCTCTCTTCAGGATGATACTTTTAACTAAATAAAATTAATTTTTCGAACACGCCAATAGTGTGAAACAGACTCATTAAATATAATGAATGATGAACATATTATAGCTTGAATTAACTGGAATTTCGGGCACCGATTCAGATGTTTATGGATGTGGTTACGCATGTTCATTGCCGATGAACCCATAATTGAGACGAAGCAGATGTTCAACTCCAAGTGATCTCCAATGGTTTCACTGTTGAGATTAGTCATAATTTACTAATTGAAGCCGCATGAAGAAACACAGTAACCATAAATCATAACCACTACAAAACTAGAATCAATTTGTTTTTTATTAGATAGAATATATCCAGCTTTATGGCTGATTTGACATATTGCAAATAATTATCAGGTATATATGACTTAAAACCTACAAAACTCCTTTGGAAGGGGAAAGCAGTAATTGGGACAGTTTTTGGTATTTGACTTGTGTAGCTGTTAATCTATTCGCAACATGATTTACTCAGAAATCTAGAATTTCAATTATTCATGTTTCTTACAAGCTGTAACTGTCACCAACACAGTTAGGTTGTAATAGAACCAATAATGAAAGTGACTCGAGTAATGAAAAATTGAATTATTAGTGACCGGTTTTTAGTTAATTACAAAGATACTAGCAACGAGTGAATTTATTTACAATATTAAGTTGATGCTGTGTTACAATAGATTAATCAATGCAATTACCGAACGTGTCTAAACGGATAAGCTCATAAACTAACAATAGAAAAAAAAATTATATTTTCCGTATGTACGTCCTCTCAATGATGAGTGAATACCTAAGATATAGTAGATTAAAATTTTATGATAATAATTCTTTGTTGTTAGCTGTAAAACAAGCACTTATATCATTATGTTTCTTACAGAAATCGTATTATCTACTAATCATTTAACTAATTAATGTTTTAGATGAAGTCGACTTTTAAAACAATCTGAATATACTACATGAATTCAATTATTTCTTAGAGCTCGTAAATAAACCTACGATGACATGAAATTTAAGTTTAAAACATGAAAATTAAATACTCACGTAGTTTATGCTTCTCTAGTTCCGCCCAACCTTCATCTGTCTCTGGTACTCGACCAGAATATGCTATAGGGACAGTGCCCTGAACCCAACAGTAGTTCTCAACATAATCTAATAAGTTTTTTCCACCCAAATCTGTTGCCATGTAGCATGAAATCGGTTTCATCATATACTGTTTGATAGTGACAATTGTTGTACAAAGCATAAGAACCATAACTGTTATGAGAAAATTAAATTTATCCGCAAAATCTTCAACTCCGACATAGGTAGCGACTTGGAACTTTGATAAATAATCTAAGAACTCTGTGCCGATCATGTCGACTGTAAATCAAAGACGTTTTCCATTTTATTTCAGAAATAATATCATCAAGGTTTTATGAGCTTTGTGTGAATGGATGAAAGAATTGGGGAAATTATTAATATCTTATTGGTTAGTTTAAAAATCAATGCAGTTGTTGATGTTTTTATTGGTCAATCAGGAATCGTGGGCGGTCAATATATTTCATAATCAAAAGGACTTGGGATTTTAAAGACGCATTTAGGAATTATTAAGTGTAATTGACGTTCTGTGTAATTTATAAGAAGGTAGTTGCAATTTGTTTTGGAAGATGATGAATCTGGATGTGACTGTACTACCGAATATAACCTTAAAACTATTTGGAACCGAGGAAAAGCTGTAAATTACGATGTTTTGTTAGTTTCTATTCATTTTCACAGAATATCTCGTATCCTATTTCTGTCTGAACTTCTATTATTGATGAGAATCTGTATGTGACTATCATTATTAAAACAGAAAATGACGAAAATAATATGTATTAACTAACAAATAATATTTAAGTGCAAACACATTCTGCATCTGCAGTTATTAAGTTTCCATACATAATACTTAAATAATATTGATTTAGCAATGTTATTTTCAAACAATCTGAAATGATCAAACTTTTGTAATTATTGTTCAAGTATGCGTAAGAGGATGTAAATCTTAATGTCATCTAGCCAAATTTAATGGGAGAATTATTTATCACACTAATGTAAATTTTTTAACACTCATTAGAATTAAATTATTCATACAGAATCGCCGCATAAAATCAAATAGGACAGGTTGGTATTTAGAAATCTGATGACTTTATATCAGATAATAATATGCAGTATAATATAGGACAAATTTTCCATCCTGTATTAGACAAATCAGTTGAATATACGTGTATGTCAGTATTTTGACACGCACACACACATTACTAGGTAATTTATTAGTTTGAGCACTCATGTTGCATGACTGGAAACTCTCAGTTTTCACCTCTTGAATGCCGTCAGGGTGTCAAACCGGAACGAAAATGCTGTCCGTGTATTTTGGTTTCTAAAGCCTTTCTATGTGTTCCCAGTTCAAATTTAATTGGTTTTTATAATTTTTATAACTAAATTTAAGAAGTTTTCACTTCACCAAAGGATCCCTGAAACCTACTTCCTTGGTCCTACTACCCACCGTAGAGGGGAGAGTTAGTTGAAGTAAGTAACCTATCATAGAGGAGCATAGGCCACCCATCAGAATCAACCATCCAATTCTGTCCAGGGTAATCCTTCCCAGTTGCTTTCAGTTGCTATTCATTTTCGTAATGTCTGCTTCCGATTACTATGCAGTGTGTTACTCGGCCTTCCTTTTTTCTGTTTCCTTTCAAAATGCCAATTATATTGCTCGCCTCGAGATACACATTGATTTACTTACTGTATGTCCTATCCACTTGTTTTACACTGGTCCCCACTTGGAATGCATCTGTCAGCTGTCCTCCATGCATCACTTTGCAGTTCAGTCCGTCGTGACAATTCCGTACACTTTTGACGATTTTCTCAGGTACGCCATAGTGTCGAAAATGACTTATGAGTTTCACCTATTAACAATGTCAAATGTTTTCTCATAGTCAAGGAAGTTGATTTACAGTTCCGAATTTTATTCTACTGATCATTCAACGATGATCCGTAGTGTCGCGATTTGGTCTGTGAACGACCGACCCTTACGAGATCCGGCCTGTTGATCTTGAAGTTGGGCGCCTACTGCGTCTTTCGTCTGGTTCAGCAACACTCTGTTGAAAACATTTCCTGCACTGACTGTAGTGTGATGCCTCTGAAGGTCTCATGCACTCTAAGATCTCCCTCCTTTGGTATCTTGATGAGTTGTCCCTCTTTATAGTCCGTTGGCACTTGTTCGTCCTTTCAGATTTTCTTGAATAAAACAAAGAGCACCTGTTTAGTTGCTTCTTTGTCTGACTTTAATGCTTCAGCTGGTATATTGTCAGGCCCTGCTGCTTTCCAACACTTGATTTGTCGGATGGCCATCCTGACTTCTTCGGTCGTTGTTGGAGTGACATCTACAGGAAGGTCTGTGTGTGCTGCTTCGATGTCCAGTTGATTCAATAGAGCTGTTCTATTCAACAGTTCTTCGAAGTATTCCACCCATCTGTTCCTCTGTTCTTGAATCTCCGTGATTGTCTTGCCTTCTTTGTCCTTGACCGGTTTCTCTTGTTTGCTATATCTCCCTGCTAGTTTCTTTGTTGTGTCATATAGCCTTCTCTTGCTAGCTCATCCACGTATTACAGCTTGCCGGCTTTAATAATATTCTTCACTTTCTTGTTTGCTTCTGTGTGCTCAGCTTGTGCCTTCGCATTCTCTGCTTATGTTCGGCTGTTGATAATTGCTATCTTCTTGTTCTTTCTTTCTTCAATGTTGTCTAGGGTTTCGATGAAGATCCACTCTTTATGATGATGCTTGTTGCGGCCCATAATCTCCTGACACGTTTAAGTCAGTGTTTCTTTGATCCTTCTCAAGTTATGTTCCATAGTAGATTCTTCTTTCAGTAGAATGCCCGTCTGTAGCACTCCTAGAGTTACTGCCGGTCCCAAGCCCGGATAAAGGGTGGGGGTTGGGAATGAGGTCGGTAACTCCATCTCGTAGAAAAAATCTTGCTAAAAAACACCGACCGAATTCAACAAATTAAATCATTTAAACTGTGCCCTTGGAGTTGAAGGAAGAATTGTGACGCCTTAGGATGAAAGGCGAGATTTTTCGGAAGTCAGGGGTCGATGCCCGTTCTAACAATCAGAGCAACAACTTTTATAGGTACATGGAACGTCCGGACAATTTTGTAGTATACTGATGGTTATTCATTGTTAATCGTGATCAATTTCCCAATATTATTTCATGAAACTAAGTGCCTAATAAATCATTAGATCCTTTCACGCCTCTGAATCGGATGGAAAAGTGGAACTCAACCGTCCTTTTTTATTTATTCTCCCTTGACAGTATGTCACTTCTAAAGCAGGACAACAAAGTTATCAGAGAGTGGATGTTTTTAATTTTGTGAATAGAATTTAAATTATTTTTTATTTCTGGATAAACGAAGGTAACTAAATGTTTATTTTAATGTCTTGGAAAAAAACCCGTAGATTTATTGTTTAGTTTGATAATTGTTTAAATCCAGAACGTAATTAAAACAAAAATGAGCTTAGTATCGTCGGTTTCATCAATCTATTATTCAACGGTAAATATACTTAGTAAAATAAAGTACCAAGCATGTCTTCTAAACCATATTGATTGCTTTTTAAAAGAACAAGTATTTTATGTTTTATTTTGCTAATTCGCTATACAGATAAAACCAGTGTCCTTGTTTTCAGCGGTCAAGGTCACCTGCAGGTATTTAAGGTCATCTAGCTAAATAAAGTTTTTTAAGATTATTTCATAGTATGTTACTTTTGAGCTAACAGCATTGAGATGTACAGATTGGTAAAAATGCGTGAGAGATTGAACTTATATTTATTATTATAAGCCGAGATGATTTAATTAAATAGCGAATAACAATTGGATGATAATCAAGCTATATCGAGAATTGACCAAAATTAAGCAGATATAATCAATATCATATTTAAATAACATGATAACATAAACTTTATACAACTGAACATAACGAAGTAGATATCAAGTTCACTCGGCATTTTGTACAGATCAACATTCACTCATGGCGCAAATATCTTCTAACTGAGCTAATTTCAACAAGATGCTAAGCCAAACAATCGTCTTATAATTACTAGCGATTACATTCAAAATTGTTCTCGATAAATTTTTATGAGAAGTCGAACTTGATAGAACTGAATTAACTTGTATGGGAGAAAGCAATTAAGTGATTTAAGGATCACTGGGTTATGGCTGGATGATATTGGTTCATCGTGAGATCTGGTAGTGAAAGTTTTGTATCGGGTTGTCAGCTCACGCTACTGAGAGCCCCCGACACTTTATGGACAGGGATTCCGATGCACCTAGATCTTCAAAAGTTTACCAGCTATTGTCTGTACCTGGAAGAACTTTTTTTGAATGATGAACGAATTGACTATGAGAGAATCATGATTCAAACTAAACAAAGTTATCATCTAAATAGTACATAAACTTAAAAGGATTGTCGATAACGTTTACGATCACACGACTGGATGTCAATTAATTAATTTTGTTAAAAGCAGTGATACTCCAAAAGAAACAGCCTATTTCACTTGAAATTATCACATAGACGGAACAATAAGTTATAAAAATATTTACCGCATATATTTGATTAATTTAGTGATCATTTCACATTGATATCACACGGAGAAGTGAAACTTTTTTGTGATCGTAATCCGAAAACCTTGTTTTCTACCTACTTAATCATATACTGTCCTACGAGCAATCTGCAGTTATGTTACCTTTGTTGAATATTTCGTATATAAATGATAACTGTCATCACCCAAACGTATGTTCATTTAGTGGGGTGGAGGGTTTGCTTTTATCACTTTACAGTATAAGTTCGACCAACTTACATTCAGTTTGGAAAACAAATTATTTGACCGTTGTGTAGTGAGATTTTGAGTTATATGCCAAGACGACATAAAATGTGTATAAAAATTTTCACGAATTACTTTTTTCAGAAAAAAGACTCAGTGAAATTCATTTATGCGTATTTATTAGATTGTAAGAAATAAATATACAATAACTGATGTCTAATTATTTTGAACCTATTTTCAAATCAAGTACAAGTATTCTTTCTGAACTAAACTATATATATATATATATATATATATATATTCTGTCAGTTAGTTAGTGATCCTGTCTTCTAAAATTTATTCTATTAGGTTTTTGTAATCGAACTTGTGGAGGAATTATCCAATGAGTTAACCCAGTTACCCCCATATGTTATCATTTTGTTATGGTATCATTATGAAATATCTTCGATGATCTCCCCTCATCAGAGATTTCCAGAGACGGTTAAGGGAATGGCATAATTAAAGTTGCTAACACATTTCTTTACGTTAAGTGGACAGTAACACAACTATCAACCAATGAAAATGACTTAATCATGTA